CTGGAAGGGAATTACAACTAGGGGGTGGGTTGGGGGGGGGGGGGGTACGCAGAAGAGAATAAAGAACATGGGGGTAGGTGTCGTGGGACGGGACGGAAGACGGAACGGGATGGGGAATGGAATATGTAGTAGAGACAGCAGCCGGAAGGATGGTCTCACAAGCAGTCTGCGCCAAAAAACACAAGGATTCTCGAGAACAGTTCTGTTCCAGGTTTTCGCATACCATAGAGGGTGCGATCCTTTACAAAAAAAAAGTTCGTCCCTCGTCCTGCCCCCGCACGCATGCGACACGACTCGCGCGACACGTGCGCGCTAAAAACGAATTGCATCATCCAGGTTCTGGCACACCCACCCCGCGCGCGATGGCAACTCTGATACGCACCATACTGGTGCCGAACAAACATCGGCGACAGCAGTTTTCGTACGTACACTGCTGTTGGAAGGGTACGCTCCGCCAGAAACAAAACGAAGCACTCGCTTCTCGCCCTAGGTCAGGTCAAGAACGCCTCGACAGCACCACGTCTGCCTTCGATGGCGAGGAAGTAGGGGTTTCTCCCCACTCGCCCCCTTGTTCAGCTATTCCCCCTCCGGCTCAGTCCTCTCGAGGACGCGTGTGGTCAACATGTATTTAGTCTAAACAACCAAGGCACGCAAATCATGACTACGCGACGCCATGCCCCCACCCGTCCTCTCAATTTTTATGCATTCCCTCACCGTGCTTGCAAGCTTTGCACGCGCCCTGACAACTAGCGACAGATACCTAGATGACTGTCTCTCACCTCTCGAGGACGTGGGTGGTAAACGGCCGAGCAGCAAAGGCATCCAAGACATCAGTACCCTCCACACACACACAATCCCCTACCGCTCGCTTTGCTGACAAGCAGCGATACATGCACCCAAGACGTCTGTCTCCTCGCCTGAATGTTTCGATCCTGCGGCGCCCCCCCGGACACCACCGCCGCCCTCTTGGCGAGGAGTTCCTGCAGGCGTTTCTCCGTTAGGGATGACTCCTGGGGGCCCTTCGGAGTGGGCGCCGTGGACGTCATGAAGGGCTGAATGATCCATGCGCACCACCCCCCGAGAGCATTCCAGCGGATTTCGGTGAGCAAAAGGGGGGACGGAGAGGGAAGGAACGATGTACGGCGTTGGCGGGTAGGGCTGGGCGATGCAACAACAGACCCGTGTGAAATCGTCGCGCGGGGAAAATAGACGTTTTCATCGCGTGGGTGGGGAGGAGCGGAGAGAGCAGCACGCGAGGGGCATGAAAATAGAATGGTGCTTGAGTAGGTATATCGGCGACAGGTTGCACAGGTGGCACCGGCAGCACAGGGACGGAGACAACAGCGGTGCCCTCAAGAGAGGTACTGCTGCTGTCGTTGGTGGTTCTTGACACAAGAAGAGGCCAGACGGCTATGTCGAGAGAGAATGCCTCGACCCATCAGAGATGACCGCCGCTGATACCCAAAGACAGATCCACGGATCGAAGGCTATAGGGCACCGGCCGAACCAAACGCCTTGAACTGGCAAAAGCAGCGTCAATCAATCGGCAAAACGGCGACGGAAACAAGCACAAGGAACGATGGACGACAACAGCAGCAACAGCAACGACAAAACCAGCCCCACCTTGTACGGGTCAAACGCAGCAGCAGCAGACGCCTGCCCCGCGGAACGCGGCGGCGGAGAAGTACGAACCCGAGGCGGCTGAGGCATGCGCTCCCGGGGCACCCCCAGCGCCTCCGCCTGCTTGGACAGGAGGTCCCTCGCCGCTTTCAGGAGACCAGCGTCCTCGCGCTCGGGTGGGAGAACGAGAAACCTAAAGAAAGCGTGAGCGACAAGAAGCGGAAGAAACAACGCTTGACCGGGGCCCTCTCGCCGTCCCGAACTTGACTACATCGTGAGCACCCTTTTTGATGAGCCTGGTGCACAAACAAGGTTGTACGGAGCCTTCAGCAGTACAGCGAGGTGGACATTTTCATGCCTCAAGATAACCTGCTACACAAGCAAGATTGACCGGAGCTGTAGCCAACTAGACTACTACATACCGCTTCAAGAGAGATACCCTGCGGCGCGGGCCTATTCCCTGGGCAACCCGTTCGGTCGTCTGGTCGATGACCTCGCGCCCCTCAACTACTGCCGCAGGTGACACAAAATACCACACACCCTGACCTGAACCGGTTTTCAAGGGTCAGGTACTCCACGACGAAGAAGAGGGTGGATGCCAAAGTCAAACGATACCTTTTCGGAAAGCTCTCGACGATACGCTTCCAACGCCGCCATTTTCAGCACCGCCGCACTCTGTGCTGAGGAGTAATCGAGCTTCGAAAAGATCGACCTAGAGGAGGTGTGACATCTCGTGTCCCCTACGGTAAATGACAGGGGGCGGAGCAGCTCTACTGTACTGGAAAATAGCCGCTGCATTCGAGAGAAAACACACTGGTCGGGGTGTTGTTCAGCTTGATGTATTCTCGACAAAACAATAACGTGGAGAATCAAATCACTCCCCCATCAGTCAGCAGCAAAACTCACCTGTCCCCCGCGCTGCCGCGGCCGTCGCCACCGCTCAAGAGCTGCTGCTGCTGCTGCTGCTGCTGCGGTCCGTCTTCTCGGGACACGAACCCGACGCCTTCTAGGAACGAAATGCCTCCGGTGATGCGGCCTACCTACACCATTCGCGCGGGTACACGCAAAACAAACAGCATGGCAAGGCCGAAATCATGAAATAAGCACGCAATACTGCTGGTGGTGCTGGTGGTGCTGCTGCCGCTGCTGGTGCTGCTGCTATTGCTGTGTGCTGCTGCTGCTGCTGCTGCTGTTAAACGACCGCGCCACCTGCTATCTCTATCATTGGGAGTTGATTGAACGAAGACTGACTTCCGCGACAAAACAAATCGCGTGAGGAGGTTCCCTGCTGGCATCGGTCACACACACACACCGCTTCAAGCCTTTAGGTCTAGACGAATGTCCAAAAAATCTGTCAAAAAATGACCCGGCAGCGCGGGTGTGTATGCGCCTCTTCGAAAAAAATATCACATCGACATCGATAAAACAACAAAGGAACAAGGGCAACGGCAGTTTGAGTTCCAATTGCCGACCAATACCCGCGATTCACATGCATGCACAATACCTTTTTTTCTGAAACGCCGCGTTTCCCCACCTCAACCACCAACTCTGGGTCTTGGACGAACGCCATAAACATCAATCGAAAAGTAAAGGCATAAAATACGGCAGCGCCGGCACCGTCCCCTTTCCGAATATCACACACCGCCATCGACGACAACAACAACAACAACAACACAACACAACACACCTTTGCCGAACACCTGCATACACACAAAATACCTTGTGCTGAAACGCCGCGTTCCCGCAGCGAATCTGCCGCGTCCGAGAGTCCCCAGGACGGTGAACGACGTTGTCGATGACCTTGGCGAGCGTTGTCACGCAGGCCTCGCTGTCCGCGTCGAAGTGTCCCGCCGCCATGGCCTCCAGCGCAGCCCGACACACGCTGGGAACACGGGGGGGGCAGACGTTACGCATTCCGGAGGAACAACAACGAGCCGTTCTCCATTACAACAAAGATAGGGATGAACGCACGCAATCATTCGGTTCTTCCTGTTGTGGGTGCGCTCTAATCATCCAAACACACAGTAGTCCATCACCCCGCTCGAAAGATACAAAAATACCCTAAAAAAAGGGATACATGCAACATTCGGTGTTTGCTGTTCCGTGAGTGCGTGTCTTATTTACCCAAACACACGAGGCGTACATCACACAGGCCATCCCATCACCCCGGGCTTCACCATCGGAATATTGCCCCACCACTGAAGTCCCCCTGCACTCTGACAACTGAAAAAAAAACACTCCGCAGGGGTGAAAGAAACACTGCAGAGGGCACCCTAGACCGGTCTGCACCCCCAAGTTGTATAAATAGACATGACACCTGGGACAGTCAAACGTAGCGTAGAATGGACAAGCGCATCGTGCAAGCCTCTTGATAGCTGGCTGTCATCCTCTGTGGCCCCGAACCATCACTTCAAGCGCTTTCGCTGAAATACCTCCCCCAACGTCCATCTCAAAAGCACCAGGCAACGGCGACTTTTTCGGCCGCTCTGGCTTCACCCCGATACAACAACAAATCCCAAAAAGTATGTGTGTTGCTTGCGGGAGGGTGGTACAGCCACAGGTAGGTGCCAGATAAAAAAACATGAACTCATCGCAAATGCACCCTGGACTCTTACCTCAAAATATTGATGGCCATGAATAATATTAATGTCCTGCTTTCAAAAACAACCAAAAAAAGGCTATGGGACAAACAACATGAGTCCATGCAGGGTGCTCTACACTCACTCAACGCCCATGGCCGGAACAGACGGCTGGTCAACCTCCATAGCGTCCGCCTGGCCGGCTTCTCCCTGCGCACTACCGCCCGCCCCCGCCTGCCGCCCCCCCTCCCCCCCCGCCGTCACCGCCGCCGCGACGCCTTGAGTGACTGCGCTCGCGCCTGCTGCAGCTGCAGCTGCTGCTGCTGCTGCTGCTGCTGGTGACGGTGGAGCGCCTGCCGTACTAACACCGGCAGCGGCTGGGGCCGCCCGTGACGTCGCCGCCTCCTTGCCCGCCATCCCCGACAGCGGCGACGATGCTGGCGGTGTAACGGCCGCCTTCGTCGTTGACGCACCGCCGCCGCCGCCGCCGCCGCCGCCGATCGCGTTCGCCGTTGTGGGGTGCGCCTCGGCCGCGCTGCGGGCGATTGCCTCACGAAGGTCCGCCTCCTCCTGCTGCTTTCGACCAGCGGTCATTTTTTTGCGGTCAGGCGGGGGGGGGGGGGGGGGATGCGTGTGTCGTAGGGTGAAAAGGTGGGCTTTTGGCGAAAAAAGAAGATCAAGATCAAGACCAAGTTGACGTGACCGATCGCGTACGCACGTCAAGAAAAGAGGGCAACAATAGGAGAAAGGAAATCACCAATGGATTCGATTCGAGTCACGCAGCGACCGTTTTCGCGCACGGTCCCCATACAAAATCAAACGGACACAGATAATCCGCAACATAAAAAAAAATCACAGCAAACTAGGGAATGAGTTGACTGACAGCAGGGCGAGGAAAAAACAAAGGCAAAGGTTGGCCCGAGCGCTCGCCTTTGAACCAGCATCAGCACCAGCGCCGGGGGGCGGTGGCAACGCAGCCGCGCTGGATGATGATGATGATAGCGGTACTGCTGCAGCGCCGGCGGCGCCTGGAGAAGACAGGCTGAGGGTGAACATCGCAGATCCTCTGATGGAGGGATGGGCGAGAAAGAGCGAGAGAGGGGGAGAGAGAGAGAGAGAGAGAAAGAGGAAGAAGAGAACATGGGGAAGGGGGGAGGGGGGAGCGGGAGTACAGCAGCCTTGGTCAGAACTTACGGGAAAAGCGGCCGAAGGGGTCGTCGCAGACTGCTGTGTCAAACCCCTAATAGCAGCAACAAGACCTGTAGTTCATCACTTCCATATAAGTAGCCGACAAATAGCACCAGCAGCACCGCAAGCATTGGCACCACCCAAAACACGGGAGCAGCGCCATCACATCTCCACCGTCAATCAGCAACGGGATGATAGGCAAGCAACTTCTCACCTGACTAGCCCGATAGAGCGGAGGGTGGTCGCGTCAAGGTCTCCGGCGCCGTACGCCGTGCGCATGAACTGCAGCGAGGGCCCCTGTTGGAGGACGCCTTCCGAAAGCAAAGCAAGACGTGAAAGAGGGACAGACAGCAAAAGCGGGGTCGTCGTCGAGACACACAGAACGGACCGAACGCGCGCGCGGGGGGGGGGAGGGGGGGGTACGAGATACTTAATTTAACTGCGCCGTTGCTTTCATGGAAACACAACATACAACATCCTAGACCCCTACAAGTACCTATGGATAGAAATGGGTTTGTTGTGTACTCAATCAAGTAATATTTACATATTCACGAAAAAAAAAAATGGGGCGACGTCCAAGCATAGGCGGGACACACGGTCACACCAACCCACCAAACGGCGACGTACATACCTGCGTCTAGCTCTCCTCGGCCGGCCCACCACTGCAGGAGGCCCAGCAGGGAAGTGTCCGCCGAAAATGGCGCCTGGACCCGCCCCCCCCCGGGTAGTCGCATCGCAACCCTCACCTTCCCCGTGAATGATAAAAAACATGGGCCAAAATTATAGAAACAACCAACAGGAACGTGCCGACGCGCCTTCAGGACAACACACACGCCGTGCGAGCATGCGTGCTACAACTGCTGAATGCCCGCATAGTAGTGCGATCTTTGTGTGCGCAACACAACCAAAATGATACAGCTACAGTAGTGCGATCTTTGTGTGCGCAGCACAACCAAAATGCAACCACAACAGGCACCCTTCCACAATAACCAAGCGCCCCCAGCAACTTGAGGGAGACCGTGTGTGCCATCTTAACGTGTTGGACCTGGGTTGGAAGCATGAAGCAACTCAATTTCCACCTGCTCACCAACGACAAGAACAACAGCAGCGGGAGACACTCACCTGACCCCCAGCAGACGTGGAGCCCGCCGCTTTTCGCCTCACCGGGGCTTCTTCCTGTCAGTGGATATTCACCACCGCGCCCCCAACAAACAAACCGTGTGCGAACGTGAGGGAGCAACTAAAGACTCGGGGTGGGCGCATGGACGCTAGCTAGTGACGCCTACGTGCTTCCGACAGGGCTGCTTCCTGTACGCATGCCCTCCAGAAAATCGGCAAAAGGTACACACATCTTGGGGAGGAGGGGGGATGAACGGCAGGCGCTAAAGGAATGCTTCGGCGAGGGCCGCTTCCTTTCATGAACTCCCGTCAAATCTCGAAAGTAAAAAACGTATCCGACGTCCCGACCACCACGCCTCACTCCAAGATGCGTGTTCTCCGAAAGAAACATCTCTTGGTCGCTCTACCGCTTGAAGGCCAGAAGTAGGAACGCAAGTGCTCTGCCGGAATCAACGACGTTATGCAAGTCTCTACCTGTCCGACATTCGCTCCCCAAACACTAGCGAAACCGACGCCCTGCAACGAGTGCTCCTCTAGAAAGCGGTCATGTGCATGGCCAACTAGTCTATTGGTTTGATTTCGGCTTCTATATGCCGGGTTGCTTTCTGACACCAAGGGATTTCTCACCGTAAGCTCTAGGGTAGCGTTTTGGGGGATGCCGGTGAAGCGGAACGGCTGGCTCAGGTCCACCACCACCCGCTTGTGCTTGAGAACCCAGTTGGGACTCCCGGTGTCCAGTCCGAACTCTCTGCAGGCCATCTGCACGACCAAGTGCACATGAAGAGGCGGAAGGCAGTGAGCGAGGCGATAGGGGAGAGGCGTACAAACTTCCCCGCATAGTTTTGCCTTGCCGCCGACAATCTGTGTGACAGTCTGCTCCGTGTGTTGGCTGGGTTGGTGTGCGGAGTTGTGACCCCTCGCATCGCGTCGCTGTCGCACAACCATACACGCAAATCAATAACATTGATAGCAACCATGCCCTCCAGCTGATTTTGGCACATTGATCTGCGGAGATCGGGTATGTATATCGTGACTACTGTATTCCGCGTGCATGCTCTCTGGACCAAGTTTGTGAGCGACGGCACACCTTTCTAGACCTGCTTCCAACGCTACACTCTCCACCACAAAGAGGGCACGATCCCGAAATAAAGGGTGGATTCGGAAACATCATGCCGAGAGCTTTCCCTTCTCGAACCGGAGGGCTTTCACGCCTCTTTCTTGCATTTGGTCAGCCGTTAGGTATTCGCGGTCAATGCTAACCCTTAACACATATTTAGCATCCAAACATACATCCAATCCGCGGCTGGTAGTATCGGGTCTTACATTGTAAGGACGTCAACAGACTCAATGAAGCCAACTACCTGACAGGTGTCAATGAATCGGGACTGCTTCGAGCGTATATTTTCCAGCATTCAGAAGCCAAGTACTCTGTAGATCTAAATCGGTATGCAACCAGCAGAACATAGTCTAGTCCCCAGCAGTTGACAGTGATGAAAACTTTTGTCCTAATAGGGATAGGTGACTACTTTAGTTTCGGGAATAGACCTTTCTAACCTAACAAGACAAGTGCTTTTGGGAGGGTCGATCTCCATACCACCTTCTCCAGGCATTAGCTCCCCTGCCTAATTGCCATGATCATAGAACCGCTCCGATCGAGATCGACAGAAACACAGGAAATTCGTCCTGCGGCGGAATTTCGCTGCCCTGAGACTGATTCAAAAACTGACTGGGCCGTTGTTGCGGGATGGGCCGTGCAACAACACACCTACCTGCACGACGGTGCTCATGCTGTCATTGGCCCCGATACGCGTGACCTTGCGGTGGCCACCGTGCAGGATGGTGAGCGCGGTGCTGCTCATCCTTGCCCGCTTCTGCAGCTGCTGATCGATGATGCCTGCTGCGTGTCCTTGCTCTCCTCCTCTTCCGTCGCTCACGTCGGCGAGCGCTCGAATGGCTTGCCAACGCTGGGGCTAAAGGTACGCAGCTGGTCACGTCGCAAAGGAAGTAGCGATCAGCTTGGGTAGTGGCAGGCCTAGACAAACCAGCACACAACTGACGGCAGATGCAATGGCAACAAGATGTGGTTCGTCGACGGATACAGGAGTTGGGGGGGGGTGCAGCGGCCGAATGGTCGCGGGGCCTCTCTTGTGGTGCCGGTGTGCCGGTTCGGGGAAAGCGGCGCAATTAACGTCCCGAGCAGCGAGACTCGTACGTTACGATGGGGCATCTGTTGTGCTGATGCTTGGCTGATGGGCTCATGGCGTTTGAACTTTGGCATCAAATCGTTCTGACGTCTCTCCAGTTACAGTAAGGGCCCCTCGGTGTCGCGGTGTAGCGCCAGCTGGCCAAACCACTGCTGTATCTACAGTAATACCAGCACTTGTACACAGGACTGCGCCGACTGCGCCTTTCTTTCATCCTTTTATAATCCTGCAAAAAAACAGCGGATCTCGCTCTTTTCAAGGACAATGTGTTTACTGCTCAGGACCTACCCCAATGATTGAATACTACTGGTACCTTTGTGTAACGGCATACAGTACGTGAGTGTACGGAGTATTTCACGACACCGTACAGCAGTTAGCGCCCCTACGTATATATTCGCCACAGCCTTTTTTCATCTGCGATGTGCATCAAGCACATCCAACAATTAGACGCAATGCAATGAAAGTACGATTACCTTAACGTTTGTACACATGTGTATGCTTTCTCTACATTCACGTAGGACCACTGCGACGCTTGGGCATGTGCTGTCACTACTGTAGCGAATGCGCGTACCCCTGTCGCACGTAAGGACACCGCCGCAAACTTCACTCACGCCGACAGAACCACCGTTGACAACGGTCCCGTACCTATTGTCATCACTTTCATTGAGCGTCGTCTTTTCGTCTTTTCCCAATTCCCTTCTCACAACTTTTCCCACCCCGGTCTTCCGTCCGCTTTACGTTTGTTGATCGGGCATCGGCCTTTCCACGACAAATCCATTCGTTTTTTCCTTTGCCGGAACCACCTATCCACGCAACGGACGTTGTGGAAAGCCAACTTAGTTTACCTTTCTTGCTTAGCGATGTCACCATCGCATCTACTTCCTCTGACTATCGAACCGCCGCCGCCACCCCGCCCGTGCTGGCCACTGAGGGGCGGGGGGGCAATCGTTCCCCGTAGTTTCATGTATGCATACTGTACAATAGATCCACTAGAATTCATCTACATATGTACACCACACCGTCTTTCATTCTAAGAGAATCCCAATAAAACCTTTGAGCTCCATTCAACTATCCTCATGTCTCAACATATCAATACATTCAAAGCAATCCTCGCATCCCGATTGACACCACAGCGGCTGCCTGTGTTAGTGCCAACTTCGTTGGTTATCGGTACACCACGTGCACAATCTGAGTATCTACTTGGCCACGTGACAGAAAGAGGTGCTGTTGATGGCAGCAGGTGCTGCTCTCAAGGCCTCCAGTCTGAATGCGTCCTTGACCTGGGCTGCTGGAGCGAGCAGGTCGTGGCGTGTTGTTTTCGTGTTGGATACGCTATCACAATGCGGACACTTTTGTAAGTGTTACGCGAGCCGATCCAGTAGATACAGCAGGCGTGGAAGGATATGATGGGAGGTGATGGTACAGGTGGCGTTGCTCGACATGCTCGGTGGCGGCACGCAAACATCGCGATCATGTTGTCCGCCATACCAACAAAAGCGGCTGGCTAGTCCTTCTCATTATACTGCCACCCGACCGCCCTTGTCCCCAGACGCTGCCATGGTAACGCTTATGGTAGTGATTCTTCAGCGCTTCCACCACCTCCAGGACTATTGCATAGGTCGGTCGATCATCCAGTAATATTACCTTGAAGTCTAAAGCCGTAGTCTTCATTGTGTAGCCCAGTAGACCGTGTCGAAAAGCTGCAATGAACACTAGGGGTAAGAAGGACGTGAATTCCTGCCATTCCTACGTTTCTGGTTCGTGAAAAACCTCGCCGTTAAACAACAGAGATGGTAACGAGGGCGGCCACTTATCCCAAATGGTCATTTTCAGAACAAGGGCCGAGCGCGGCCACGCAACTCGTTCGATTGACTGGTGGAATCCCCCACCGAACGCTAGGTGCTGTAGGGATGAAGGCCATCCGATTCCGATTATTGGATGATTGAAGTAGAAACCGAACTTGAGCCGCTTCAGGGAAGGCGGCCACACGACTCCGGCGAGGGAATGATTGAATTCAACTTTGAACTCTAGGTCCTGTAGCGACGAGGGCCATGTGACTCCGGCGAGGGGCTGATTGAAAAATTCCCCAAACTCGAGTTTCAGCAGTGAGGTCGGCCAGACAACCGCCACGAGCGGTTGGTTGAAATAACTGCCGAACTGGAGGCGCTGCAGAGAAGATGGCCAGGCGACTCCGGCGATAGGCTTGTTGAAGCCATACCCGAATTGGAGGCGCTACAGTGTGGGTGGCCACACAACCTTCAAGAGCGATTGGTCGAAATCACCACCCAAGTGGAGCCGGTGTAGCGAAGGCGGCCACGTGACTCCGGCAATTGGTTGGTCGAAGTTAGACCCCAAGGTTAGCTCGCACAACGACGCCGGCCAGTCGACTGCGATCGACTGGTTAAACGCATACCCGAACTCGATCTGCAGCAGCGAGTCCGGCCACGCGGCTTCGGCCAGGGATTGATTGAAATGACTACCGAACTGGAGGCGCAGTAGGGAGGCTGGCCACGCGACTTGGACGATAGGTTTGTCGAAAGCAATACCGAAGTCGAGCCGCTTCAGGGCTGCCGGCCGCTTCACTCCAACGATGGAGTGGTCGAACTCGTCCCCAACGTCCAGGTGCTCAATAGACGCCGGCAACTTCAAGTCGTCCGGCAGATAGGCTGCCTCGGTGAGTCGAAGGTACGCACAACTGGGAGGTCAACGTCACCCTGTCCGAACGCCTCCAGGGGCAGGCACCACACCAGACCGCGCGGAAGTATTTGAGGTACCCTTTTTGACTCCGGCATGAGGCCTGGCCTGGTCATCATGTCGCCGGCCATAGCCGGGGGCACTCCGGCCTCGTGGTTCTTCTTGCTGCCAGCCAGGCGTTCGAGTGGCATGTAGCCTCCACCAACCATCACCACCAAAGTCGGTGCGCGCCGGCATGCTTCGTTGAGCGTCAGTGACGAGCACTGAAGGTCCCTGGTCCACACATAAAGCTGTTGAATCACGATCATGAGGGCCGCCTCCATGACGCTGTTTACAGTGCAACAAACACATTGGCAAGGTGGCCAGCGAAGAGACGGAATGAGACAGGGTCAAAAGGACAAACAGATCATTCTTCGTGAACCTTCTTCGGCTCCAAAGTTAGACGGCGGTTGGCCCCAAGGCTCTGTCCGCGGGTCGTGAGTTTGGTTGACGAGCGCGTGCGGTAAGGTGTAGGTGAGTTGATTAAGCTGCGTGTCCTATCCCCCCCCCCGGCGCGGCAGATGCTTTCGTTGAATTGATACGAAGTGCAAGTAGGCGGAGAGATGTATGTCGGAGAGGAGGACATGGGTGATGTAACGGGGGTGGCGGATTAACGCGCCCGTTTTCTCTACCAACGCTCTGCCGAATTGATAAACCCGTCAGGTTTCGAACACGGAGACGTTCCCTACCATCAGGGCTGTGGCAAGGGAGGAGAGGGGGTCACCTATATCGTCTCTAGGTAGCTGACCCCCGATTCTGACGTTTTCGAGCTTGTCTTGGGGTTAACAAGAACTACATGTAAGCAAGAACCTCTGCCGACATCCGCTAGTCTCGATAACGAGATTGCTTCAGTCCATGCTATTTCTCTCTCAGCGTGTGCTTACGTGATTCCCTTGTTATCCGAGCGAAAGGATTTGCCTTGTTCCGTCTTGAGCAACTTTCCAGCTTGACGAGGCGCCACCGAGTCAGAGTCAGCGCCCTTCTCCCCCTTCAGCCCCACGGTACTATCGCCGTCACCTTCGACGTCCCGCTCCGTCACCGCCCTCGACAATTCTGCCTCCGCCCCTGCGTCGAAACCATCCCCCACCTCCACCTCGGGGTTCTCCTCCGAGAGACCCTTCGCCTCGCTACCTTCCTTCCTCTCCTTACAATTTTCTGCAGCCGCCTGCCCGCACACCCCGCCCTCCGAAGACGCCCCCGTAGCCCCCACCGAACCCACCACCCTCCCGTGCATCCCGTTGGCCTTAACGCCGGTCTTGATCTGGCCCGACTGGGCGAGACTCTCGCCGGTCGAAGCTGGAGCGCCAGAAGCTGGGAAAAAAACGGGCTCAAGGACCCCTTTTAGGGCCTTTAGGGGCATGCAGGCGGTGACGGCTGACGAGGAGGAGGCGGCGGTGGCGTCGAGCATATCGGGGGTCTCATGTTTGCACCCGCCACCTTTGGTAGCGCTCTCACTGCTGCTGCTGCTGCTGCTTCTGCTACTGTTGCAATTGATACTGCTTGTGTTGCTACAGTCCGCGTCCGTTCGCGGGCCTGCTTGCACTTCCCCTCTCTTGGTTACCCGCTTCGCCATCCGGGAAGTTTTCCAGTGCCGCAGTTGCTCCTCAATAGCTTTTGTCATTCTGCGTCATGGGCAAAGAGGAGGGGTAGGCTAGCAATTTGGTGTTGTCATTTGTTTATTACGTACGAGAAACCTTTCTGAGACCTACCCTGCATCTTCTCTCCCATGATCATATAGAGTTACAAGTATGTTTTCCCTTCTTCTGTTACGGTCTGTCTGTCTGTCTGTCTGTCTCTCTCTCTCTCTCTCTCTCTCTCTCTCTCTCTCTCTCTCTCTCTCTCTCGCGCGCGCGCGCGCCCTCTCGCTCGCTCTGTGTACAATGGTCAAATTTATGAGCGCACTCCGACAATGTCGTTCACTACTTGTGGTAGCCCGGGAACATTGATATGCAGTAGGGCTCTTCCGTGCTTACAGCAGCCGTGGGGGCGTCCATGCTGGTGTCTCGTCCAGGACACTGGAAACGTGTCAATAGAGTAAATGCGCGGGTTAGCACACCAAGAAACCTCGACGCTCACGTTTTGCCATGGACATGGTAGTCCACCTTCTCGGTGTCGTCGAGGTTGAACACGGGCCATCGGTTTGTTTCTTTCGCTTGATCCTCCAAGGGTATCATGTTCTCAACGCGTTTCATGAGCTTCAACGCATGTTTGCTGCGGGGCAAAAGAGAGCCAAGCCAGAAGCGGAACACGGGCATGGAAGAAGCGAGGGGCCACAATCGAACGGGGTCAAACACAGACAACGGTTGGAAACAGACGACCGCTGAGCTGGGCAAGAGCGAGGGAAAAACTTCCGCTTGGGGGTAATGTTGTGTCGTCCATAAATTTAAAAGAAGATGTTCGAACGAGTGGAAATTGAAACGACATAGTGGACTTAAGAAAACTGTCGAATTACACACAGACAACTGTAAAGAAGTGACTGACGCGCCGCCAGCCGGTCAGGTTCTGGTACCCGTAGATATATTCTCTGTCCCGAGTCCAAGAACACGACTAGAAAAAGGGGCAGATAATGTGGAGATAACCTATGTATGTATAATCATGCCGGCGACGCACTCGTTTATCAAACGGAACATGGTCTTCATCATGAACCGGTTAGCCTAAGAATCGTACGGATCCTCGTCCTAGTCCCTAACAGGTATGAGGGGTTCCTGTCCGCCGCGCTAACAAAGGACGCATAAAAACGTGATATCAACGAAGCTGTATTTCGAGTGAGTTAGACCACACCCCCACAGTCACTGACACCCACCCAAACACAGGAAGCACGGGTTTTGAGGCTGAGCTCACGCATGGGTGGTGATGCGTGTGTCAAGCGTGACCGTTCGGGCAGTCTAATCCCAGGGAGGGCGAAACCAGCAAGTAAATGCCGAAGACAGCACGCCTTGTATCACATCTTGCACTTCCGTTGCACGAGAGAAAGAACCCATCACTATGTAGGGGTACGTCAGTAGCTTCATAAACAGTATTCACCGTGACCCCACCCACGACGCCGACAGGTGCGTTCATTCTCTGGCGTGAATTATCGTCGAACACGTGCTACAGTACACAACCTGTAAAAATCAGGTATGAAGAGTGGTTTGAAGGACGAGAGAGAGTGTTGCAAGTGGAGCGCTGCAACGACGGGTCTCTCCTCATTGTCAATTGAGTTTCCGGGGGGGGGTAGGAACAGCACACACTCATCTCTATCCCGCAAGTGGGGTCAGCTGGTGGAAATTAGACGAAAAGGCTTCGGAACAGAGCTGTTTTGCGACAATGTGATGGTATGGGTAAACGGCACAGCACGGTATTCCCTTGACAAAAGGAGGCTCAGAAACATGCTGCTAGTCAGCCTGAAATGAGCCTAGCTGAGTCGTCGACGCCCACGTTCTACCCTGTCGAGTCACGGAAACCCGGGTCGCTCATTGGAATGGTACTTCGAGAATGTACTCTGACCTGACGGCGATGAGACCCTTTCGTGGGCGATAATCTTCGCAGGAAGCTCTTTCCGGTTCAATCAAAGGACTCCACACTAGTCCCAAACAAATCATGGCAACCAACCATGCCGCCTTCAACCATGGAGCATGTCTCGGATGTCGGTTGCCATCGTTTGTTTGGAACGGGAAGACTCGTGTTTATGGTGTCCTTTTGTTGGAGCGTCAAGTGATTCCTGTGAAGAAATCGGAGGTCGGAAAGGTTTAACTTCCACCAGGTCAAGATACATTTTCGAGTAGCAGTGATTTTTCCAGATAGCGGCCGGGTACACCCCGGGCTTTTTGTGACACGGCGACGTGAATTTGGCGTCGAGGAATCAGCTGGGATATTTTCGCGCTATTTCGAACTACATTTCCTCGGCCACGTTCCGTCCTTGGTTTACCCTGTTGCGTCGTTTAGCCTTCCTTTCCTCGTTCTGGCTGTTTCTCGCATAGTTAACACAAGCATATCTCTATCAGTACATGGCCCAGGGTGAAAAAACGGTAAGCTCGCATTTTCAGCTATGTACATAAAGAACCAAGCACTCGCTGCAAACCAAAGGCATGGCGTCCTCCAAATATTTGGTGGGTTATCAACCACCGCACAAACACGAGTCGTAGAATCATCATATTTACTGCATGTCGGCGAAGCACTTGCTTAGCAAACGGAACATGGGCTCTTCCACATGAATCTGGTCGGTCTAGGAATCGTACGGATCCTCGTCCTAGTCCCTCTTAAGGTCTTCGGGATACCTGTTCCGCCACGCTAACAACGGACGCATGAAAACGTGATATCAACAAAGCTGTATGGAGCCAGCTAGACTCGGCCACACAGCCAGCCATGTATCGCATTTCGCACTCCCGTTGTACGAGAGAATAGAAGATCATGGCAATGCCAACACCATGTAGGGGCACGTCAAGAGGTCCTATTCACAAGACACCGTGCCCCCATGATGTCCGATATGAGTTTTTTCTCTGGCGTGCTTTGCCGCCGAACATAATCTATACAACAAGGCAGTCTGAAGCATGATGCTATGAAGAGAGGTTTGAAGGACGAGAGAGAGTGTTGCAAGTGGAGCGGCTACATTGATGGATGTTTCTTCATTGTTTATGGCGTTCCCAGGGGGGAGAGGAACAGCACACACTCATCTCTATCCCGCGCATGTGGGCAGCTAGTGTAGCGCTGATGGAAAGGTTTCGAACAAAGCTGTTTTGTGACAATGTGATAGTAATTCGGGTAAGCGGCACAGCATGTGGTATACCCTGGACAAAATGCGACTGAGAATACATGCTTCACATTAGCCTGAAATGAACCCAGCTGAGTCGTCGACCCCCACGTTCAACCGTGCCGTGTCACAGTAACCTGGTTCGGTCGCTCATTGGAATGGTACTTCGGGAGTGTACCCTGACTCGACGGGCAATGAGACCCTTTCTTGGGCCATGTTCTCCTCACAGGAACCACTTTAAGCTCCAACCGAAGGAAATCAAGAACACGAATCGTCCAGTCCCAAACAAACGGTGGCCACCAACCATGCTGCCTTCAACCATGGAGCGTGTCTCGGATGTTGTTTGTCATCGTTTGTTTGGAGCTGGAAGACTCGTGTGAAGGCTGTTGGAACGGAAAATGATTCCTGCGGAGAAAGTAGCGCAAAGGAAGGATCCCATTGCCCGAAGGCCAGCGTATTTTTCCGAAAATCATGTGCACATTGTCAAAGAGTGGCAGGGTATATACCCCCAGGCTTCCTATGATCTGTGATACGGCAAGGCGAACGTCGGCGTGGAGGAATTAGCTGGGATCGTTTCACGCGGATTGGTTCGATGAACCCTCGGTCGCGTTTTGACAATGGTTACACTGTTTCACCCTTCTTTTCTCGTTGTATGTGGGGGGGTTGTATCCAGCTGTTTCTTTCGAAAACAACACAAAACTCATCTCTATCCGTAGATACGGCAGTCCAGGATACAAGGGAACAAGGGAGTTGTCAGCCTACCAATCGAACGGATCCTTGTGTTAACCCTTTATAGGCGTGGGGGTTCCTATTCCGTGAGGCAACAGAACAGCAGACACCTTCAAACGCGACACCAGTAGTGAGGAGATCTTTTTGTTGTAGGAAGGACCAGACGGAAACAATAAAGATCCTGTATGCGAGTCAGAGCGTTCCCTATTATAGCGAGGCTTTTGAGCTTCCTGAAATGCCTTCGGGCCGGTCACCTACTGCCCTCCATAAAACTATACACTGTTACTGCCTGTCTGATTGCCATGAACTACGGTACATGTACATTATAGATATCGTTTATCCACCCGCCTTGTCCTCGTCGCAGCCTCTCCCGTTGTTGTTTCGCCTTGCACGATTGGACGCGCACCCGCGCCGCCCGAATCCGACATCATGTGAAGCACAACCTGGTATGACATGAGAAGCGAAGTGAATAACATCGCAAGTGGTCAAGACCTACTACATACGTTCAGGGTATACACACACCAACATTCTCCTTTTTATACGTAGCAATGTTTGAAATCCAGGGTGTGAATCATGATCGCCACACACACAGTAGTAACCCGTACTCACACTGTCGACGCAAGGAGGATTCACGCGGCCATGCATGCATGCTTTGCGCGTACGCGAGAGTATTGAAATCGCCAGAAACATTTTGTGCGCTGCACATTCATTTTCTCTGGCAAGACTCATTCACGTCTGCTTGCATTCATCATCAACACGTACAATATGTGTCGATATCGCTATCTTGTCGTTATTGACGGTACCACCCGATCCGATAGGTCGACACATCGTGTTGGATGTCGGGGGTCGAAGGGTAGGTATCTCGACATATGTATGTAGTGTCGTGGCCCTTTTCAGCTGCGATACCCACCACAGCGGGAACATTCAGATGCAGCGATAACCCATCATTGGGAACAACGTTCCTTTCTCGGTGCAACCTACAGCATCACTCATGCCCATGGTTGGTGGGCCGAACACTACCACCTCGAGGTCGTGCGTTCTAAAAACGCCACCGGTGCGCGCTTGCTGCGCTTCCATCAACCACAGTGGACCAGTTCTCTCCCAACGGTGTCCTCTAGGAAGAGATCAAATGGTACAAACCAGCGTCGTTTGGACCTTTGGACTGACTTTGGGGGGTCGTGTGTTGTTGCGGAGTAACTCATGACGACCTGCCTGGTCGTGTTGTGAGTATCTGTGCATTATCTTAGATGCGAATGTGAGTTTGGTCGCATCCTCTTACTGGCTTCTGCGCACACAAGAAATCACAAGCAAAACAAAAGTCAGCGTCCACGTGCCTTCTCGTGTGTGTGTCCCCACCTCTCTCGAGAAGCAACACACAATGTACCCGTTCATGCGAGGTTTCAAAACTCACTGAAAAGACTCCACCACATCCCGTTCGACTGTGGGTATATCTCGAATGGGTAGTCTTTCTGTGTGTGTTTCTATTATTTCTTAAAAGTAACAGAGAAGAAGAAAAATAAAGAAAGTATCGTTTCCGAGGCCGAAATGACCTGCGCGGAGCTACAGCACGCCGCACAGCCGCGAGAGCATAACGCGGGCATCGAAGCCGGTCACCGCCCTTCGTCTTCCTAAAACGGCAACCTTGCACAGCATATGTTTCAATCGACGCCCGAAGTACTTCAAAACACCCCCCCTGTGAGCGTTACCACTGGAACTCGAACCGGTTACAACGAATGGCCAAGTGTGACTTGTGTGTCTATGGCGTGACGTCTTCCATGTACCAATATATGTAGTGTACACCTTTTATCCCTGCCACGGGCACCAAGACAAGTCCTCGTTTCTCACCTTTTATGGAAAGCGAAGGAGGAGGACGGAGGACGGAGGCGTCTGTAGCCACCCTCTTTACTGTGTGAGGGGGGGGGCACAGAAATGTGTGACAGACGAAGATTCGGGGCGGGGGGCGACACAGACAAATGGATGAGAGGGGGGGGGGGGGTCTCGGTCGACCGACCATGTCGGAGCAGAGCAGCTGTGCAGCTAATGGGTTGTTTTGTTCATTTGACTTGTGAAGTGACCCGTGAATTAGCCAGCCGTTCATGACCGACCCTAACCTGTCATTCTCGATTCTCCCGACCTGACCTGCCCTATGAAATTCTTGGGCTCTCCGAACCTCACCTGTGGCCTGACCGCAGAAGTTGTGACCTTTCAAACCCGGGACGATCGTTGCAAAAGCCTTGGATTCTTAGGGGGAAGGTTCCACAAAAGAATGCGCGTTTGTTGAGAGGATGATTATTTTCAGTTTTGCTGATACGCACGGAACAGCCCGAAGCTACTATAAGTTGCCATGTCGTTTCACTCGCGGCGGTTTACTTGAAAGTTGTCACCCAAATAGGCGAGAGACATTGGAAATATTAGCTTTTGGTGGGAGAAACTCTTGCATTGATTAATAGTCTCGTGATATGGAAAAGGTGTTGTCTCGTTTCGCCCGAAGCTCTTCTTCCTCGCAATGACACAGCAACTCCTTGCAGTGATGCCCGTGTTTCATCTGCACCTTCGCTCAACGCCGACTATTAGAGCTTGGAAGTTGGAGCGAACGCTCTGCAATACTACTGGGGACATGTCTGTCCACAGATGGTATACGGCCCGGCTTTTCATGCTCTGAGGCGTCCTGGTCGAGCTAGATGTTTGGTTCATTACACCACAACCGAACTGGGCAAAACGGTCCGTCTACGTCGCTGACGGCATCATAAAAATTATGGAGATTGAGGCAACGCCCAGGGGTCGTTTGAGCACGATCTGGCCTGGTTCTAGGGAGTGGTTGTCCAACGAGGGTACGTGTCGCTTCTGGAAAGCCTTTGGGGACAATAGCCCTCGTGTACCTGTCTCCCACCACCCGGGGCTCCCATAATGGTGGATACGCTTCGTCACACATGGGCGCTGCGGAAAAAAGTTCCTGCACGAAAGCTGAGAGCGACGGGGCTGCTGAACCCCTCGCGCACAAAACATCGAAGGCAAGAACCGCAGGGGGACCTAACGGTGTTTGGGGTGCTCGGCAGAGTATACTGTCTACGGGGCCTCCGGGGGATACGCGGATGGTATGTATTGATGGACATGCTACATGGCGATCGTGTTGCCTGCCGCATGTCTCCCACTCTTTAAGCAACAAAGTTCTTGAGTCAACCTTCTTTTTCTGTCGGCCTCTGATGAGCTACCGCACCCAAAACAAGCTGGACAGAAACAACAATACGTCACCCTCCCTGTGCTGACTTCCTCCTGGATGACCCCGGCCGATACATCAAATACATGCCGAAGGTGAAGCCACTGGCGCACGGAAAGAGATTATGGCACGAAAACATACACACACACACGAGACAAAAACCCAAAACAAGTAGACTAACGCTTTCAGTCTTGGGGTTCTTGTTTCGGAACACTTTACCTCGAGGCCGCATTGTTCCGAGCATTGTTCCGAGGAAGGAAGCCCCCCATAAAACTCTCGCCCTACGCATAGCAACAAGCACCATTGCGGCCAGCCAAGAACGTCGCTCGAAGTTCGATGACCCTCGAACCCATCTGCCGTGCGCCCGATCGGCAAGTCGGAAACAGGCGTGCTGCCTACGGTACAGGTATGTATGCAGCGGTACAAAATACGAACACGCACCAGCCGCCGGATGCATGAAACCCGTGTGGTCGAGCTTCCCGACCAGCCCCCTCCATTTGGTGGCGTGAAGTGCTGAACAAAGATCTACAGCGTTACGGCATACAAGGCCGCTGGACAGCCCAGGGAACCAACGCCAGGGACAAAACTGCACGCTAGGGTAGGAGGGGGGACATCTCACACGAGGACACCAACCGCGTGGCGGCCAACAACAACATCCCAAAAACAACAGATCGAGATTGACCCGTTGCGCCCCTGCGTTCCCGACAACCAACATAACGTTAGCAGTCCATAGGGCCAACCTTACACACCGGGGGAAACGATTTACAATCAACAACACTCCGAACAAGTCAAACACCACGCACATAGACGACAAAGAGAAACAAGAAAAAGGTGTGGGTTTGTTTGCTACCATTCGTCTTCATCACCCCATCGGCTTCTGGCAGTGCGGGCACTCGATGAGGGCGAGATCGAAGCCCGTCGGCGCAAACACGAGCTTCCCGCAGGACTCGCACGCGATCTTATCGTCCCTCTCTTCGGCCCCCACCACGGCACCGCTCAAGCTACCATTCGCCGTTGCCGAAGCCGCGGCGGCACTGCTATTATCTTCGTTTGCGATCATCGACAGCAGCCGATGCAAGCTCTCCTCCGAGTCGGACCGCCCATTCTTCGGCGCCGGGAACGTCAACAGCGCGTGATCTCTCCGCCCCGCCGCGGGAGCCCGAGCCGAGGCGACGGGGGCAACGGCGACGGCTGCTCTGGACAAGGTATCCCGCGCCCCGGGCGACCCCAAGTGCGCCACTGCCGTTGCCGTTGCCGTCGGGAACAGCGCCTCCTCCAGGTCCACGGACGATGCAATATCGTCCTCGAGCCCTGCCGCTGCGGCTCTGCTATCGCCAGCGTAAGCCGGCGGGGGAGGAGGGGAAGGCGAGCGAGTCGTTGTAGAAGTCGACCTCCGCTTTATTACTGCGTCCCCGGTCGGGGGAGACCGGAACGGGGTTCTTCGGTGGTCCCCCGAGGAAAGATACTCGGCGGCGAAGGCGCCGGCGCCGGCGGTTGTCCCACCCCGGTGCTGCGATGATCGGCGGGACGGCGGGGACACGCCCAGCAGGAGTGCGAGACGGCGAGCACCGGCGCGACACTCCTCGCCGCCGCCGCCGCCGCCCCTGCCGCCCTGGATACGCACGATCGCCGCCTCGACGGCCGCCTCTTCTGTGTCGTCTCCCCCCGACTCGACCCCCCGCTTCGCCATCAAGGACGACCTGACGGCGCCACGGTGCGCCGGCGAGGCGCACAGGACGCACAGCAGCCGGATGATCTCCCCGCGTTCAGAGACGCTTAGCTGTGGCGCCATCATCATCGTCTGCGAACAACCTCCCTCGCTGTCTCCGGCCACGTCTCCGCCGCCGCCTTGTCGCCCGAGGGCGACGTCGACAACGGCGGACGCCGCCCCCGCCGCGACCAGCGACTTCCTCCCGGTCGGGCGAGCGGCGATGCTGGACATCGTCGCCAGCGCGGTCTCGGACAGCGCCCCGAAGCCCGAGGAGGCGGACGGTGCCATTCCTCGCCGCCAGAGGGAGACGACGCTGTCCGCGAAGCGGGAGTCGGTGACGAAGCCGTCGACGGCGGCGGCGGCGTCGAGTGAGCTCGAGTCCGCCCACGATAGGACCAGCAGCGCGTAGAGCGCTTCGCTCGCCAGACCGCCGGCGGTAGCGGCGGTGAAGTCACGCCCAGCTGCCGCCATGGAAACGGCCGCGACCGCGGCCGAAAGAGCCTCCCCGGCGGCAACCAGCTCCTCCTCGCCCCCATCCGCCCCGAGGACGGGGGACAGCCGGCACAAGAGCGCCGCCGCCGCTTCGCCGGCACCCACGGCCACCGCCAACGCAGCAGCAGCAGCAGCAGGTGCTTCCTTCTGTGTAGGTGGTGCCAGCGCCAGAGCGGAGGCGGACAACGCGCGCGCCGACGCGAGCACGAGGCCGTCGAGCTCCAAGACGCGGCGGCGCGGGGCGTCGGCGAAGGCAAGGTTCGCTAGCAGCCGGAAGGCCGACTCCTCCGCCGAGGAGTCCTCACCGGCCTGCGGAGACGACGAGGACGTGCTCGCGGTGGTGGCGGACACGATGTAGGAGCTCGCGGAGCGCGCTAGCCCGGGGAGGTCCGCCAGCGCCCCTCGGTGCGGCTTTTGCTCCGATAGCGCGACGAAGAGCTGGTAGTGAGTGAGAGAAATTTTGGAGCAGCACGCGCAAAAGATGGCGGGTGGCGTGTGTTCGGGACAATGTGTACACATGACGACGATGGACGGGGGGCAGCTGACAGCGGGGAGAGCTTTTTCTCAGGGTGTAATCATGCTCTCGGCCACATGGGAGGACGACATCACCGTCACAAAACAGCCACAAAAAGCAACAACAACGACAACCTCACCTCCAGCGCCTCGCGAACGGCCGCCTCCGTCGCCGTCGGAATCCTTCCGCCGGTGCCCTCCGTCGCCGCTTTTGCTTCCGCCGCGCCGTCCTCGAGGATCTGGACCACGCTCCGCAGCCCGCTGTGCCGCACCACGACCGCCGGCGTCTCCCCGGGGAGGCCTCGCACAAGTCTCGCCAGCAGCCGCGTCGCCTGGCGGCACCGACAACAGACAGCACCAGCCGTCGTCACGCTCCCGCTGACACCAACGGCCACGCGCTGTCTCTCCTCCTCCTCCTCCTCCACCACCACCACCACCTCCTCCTCCTCCTCCCCCTCCTCCT